TACTCTCCCTACACCTCTTTCTTCTACCTCTCTCTTATTTCCTATCTTCCTTCCCTCTTCCTTTCCTACTCTATTTCCCCTTCTTTTCTCCTTCTCCTCTCTCTACATTCCACTCCTCCTTATCCTCAACCTCCTCATCTTCCCCCCTTACCCTCTCTCCTATCCCTCTCTTCCCATCTTTCTTCTCTGTTTCCCACTCTTCCTCTTATTGGTGTATTTCCGCTTCCATACTACTCTATTTCCCCTTCCTTTCTCCTTCTCCTCTCTCTACATTCCACTCCTCCTTATCCTCATCCTCCTCATCTTCCCCCTTGCCCTCTTTCCTATCACTCCCTTCCCACTTTTCTTCTCCCTTCTGCTTCCCACTCTTCCTCTCATTGGTGTATTTCCGCTTCCATACTACTCTATTTCCCCTTCCTTTCTCCTTCTTCTCTCTCTACATTCCACTCCTCCTTATCCTCAACCTCCTCATCTTCCCCCTTACCCTCTCTCCTATCCCTCCCTTCCCACTTTTCTTCTCCCTTCTGCTTCCCACTCTTCCTCTCATTGGTGTATTTCCGCTTCCATACTATTCTATTTCCTCTTCCTTTCTCCTTCTCCTCTCTCTACATTCCACTCCTCCTTATCCTCAACCTCCTCATCGTCCCCACTTTCTCTCTCTCCTATCCCTTCCTTCCCACTTTTCTTCTCCCTTCTGCTTCCCACTCTTCCTCTCATTGGTGTATTTCTGCTTCCATACTACTCTATTTCCTCTTCCTTTCTCCTTCTACTCTCTCCCCTTACCACTCCTCCTTATACACCTCATCTTCCCCCTTCACCTTCACTAAAAATTTATTGTAGAAATGAATCTAAGGCTCTCTATGAAAGTTGGTGGAATTCAGTTTCTAATAATTTTAGCAAACAAAACTCATGATGAGGTCTGATGGGAGTTTTGGTCCTACCTACTACCAGTACATAAGGAATGGGAACAGAAGTTCCCCATTTGTATTCTAGATTTTGTATCACATTCTACAGCATTTATTATTTCATTTATCATTTATTATTCATGCTGGATAGTTATCTACAAATTGGAAAATAAAGAAACAAAATAACTAATAGGGCATTTTGAATGTTTTCTTACTTTCCAAGGATCTAGATTCAGAAAGTCCATTTCCACTCTATCTGTAGTTGGTTTCAGCCTAAATCTGGATGACTTCAAGTTATGTAAAACATGAGCAATGGCATAGACAGAATTGTAGATGCTGTAACTTTGACCAGTCATACTTATTTGAAAAAAAGACTTTGGTAGGTTTTCTACACTTCCGTCCCAAACACACTTTTTTTTGTTTTCCTGGTGCATATTAAAATAGGGTATCAAACACTCATTCTGCCAAACGAACTTGGTTTGTTTGCTATCTTCTTTTGGCCAGTGTACATTAAGGAGCTCAAGAAAAGGCTGAAATCCTGGGACTTCATTAATTTGAATTGCAAAGGATAAAGAACCATGGAAAATTTCTATTGCCATCTTTTTGAGAAATGTTGGTGATCCAAAGTCCCAATGAGCGGTGATAAGCCACACTTTGCCCAAACTTACTTCTCCCAACTGTAACATATTTTTGAAGCTCCACATTGTTTGAGTATCTGAATACATGACAATTACATTAGTTGTGATATTTTGGAGAAAATGGGTCATACTTTCAATATGTTGTGTCAAATCAACAATGTGGACTAAATCAATTAAGGGTTGTATTCTTCCTGTGAAAGCTGCACAAATTCCATTTTGGGAAAACATTGATAACATAGTTGCCATAACCTTCTCTCCTTTATCTGAATTTGTTACAACAATTCCAACCCAAGTCCATTGGAAATGGAGGAGCAGCTGAACAATTCCATGAAACTGCTGTGCTTCACCAGGTACCATACGATAGAAGTACGGTATCCTGTTGCCAGCATCCTTCTCTATAGCAAAAAAGCAATAAGCAACCTAATTTAAAAAGAAGTATTAAAAAACAATTAGGTAAACAGTTTATTTATCTTCTAAATTCTCCTATAAAAATCTACAAATTAAAGTTCATGCATCTCTATGTTTCATTTAATTAAATTTTATTGCTGTTGTGTATACAAAATTAGACATTTCTATTTTCTTAATAAATATTACAATGCAGAAATTTTATTTTGTTTTTGATATTAAAAAAATAGAGTAAAAAGAGGATTTGAACTGGAGTACTTCTCCCTTATAATTTGTGATGGTTTTTTATGTCTTATCTTGACTATTTAATTAAATACAATAATGGTGAAGCATTTTTATGTTGCTTGGTTTTATTTTTTTATTCCCATGAATGTGGAGTGTGTGTGTGTGTGTGTGTGTGTGTATAAAGCATTACATAATTAATGTTTAGTTTTAGTTTTCTGTAGACAAACAACAGAATGAATATTCATTTGGGGAAAAATTTGACTTGAACTTTTTGAAGTGTCACTGTTACATATTTGATGCATTTGAAAACTACAGAGTAAATGAAATATGAGACATGAAAACAAACCTTGACAGGTTTGCATTTATTTAAATGCTTTTAAAAACATATAGTATGTAAATGTGTTATTTGTATTTACTAATATTTGCCATACATGTATATGAACCTGAAATCTCTTTAGAATTTTCCATTTTTATACATAAGCCATAAAAAGAATTTCAATGGCTATAAAGGGAATTTTAGATAAATAATCTGGTCCCAGCAACTGATTGTAAATCAATTTTTTTCATATATTTTTTTCTTGGTTTTGTGATGCCTTACAAAGGACTAAGAAACAGTATGAAGTAGGACATCAGACTTTCTTGTATACACATCCTACCTGTGGAATCTTGTAGGTGATTAAGATATTGGCCATCAGAAGTGAGTTTTCGGAGTCAGATTCTCCAATGACAACTGGTAACATATTCCGTTTCTCACAACTATAATTAGGGATAGTCTTTTCTTGATTGGATAGAAGCTTCAAAGTATTCAGATATATCATTCTTGCATCAATATAGCTATTAGAGATGTGGAATCCAAGGCTAATGTTTGGTAAGATGTTTGGATTCCTATTGATCTCCTTGACTGCATATACTAAGGAAAGTATATGTTGATTGTTTATTGGCATTTCACTGGAATGAGAAATTGTATTCTTTATCAAATGGTCATACTACAAAGAGATAAAAAAGACAAAGAAAACAAGGAGAAGAAACAAAGAGATGAAAATTGCAGTCAAAAATGGGGGGGTATTTACATAAATTAGAAAAATGCAGAGAAGAATGAATGAGAGAGCAGACACAAACAATTGCAATATCAAGAATGTTATCTTAAGGTATATTGACAATATGTAACTCAGCCTATGCATGTTTCAGATTGGCATGTTTAAGTTACCTTTGTTCTCTTTACATTTGTAATGCAAAATGTAATGATTAAAGACTACTAACCCACAAACTGAATCTTGGAGATAATAATATTCCCTCCAACATATTCTTTGGTATCCATCAAATTCTCTTCCCTATCTAATTTTATTTTAAAATGCTTTTAGTTAAAAGTGTATATGTATAACAAAGCACAAAACAAACAAACACCTGGCTTCAAAGTATCCCAAAGGTGCTTTTTCAAAAGGCAACTGAACTCTTTTTTCCTTGAGGAAGAAGACATTTCACTTCTCATCTGTCAGTTGTCACTTAAAAATAGTGTTAACTCATGAAGCATTCCTGACCTGTTCTCGAGTTGCCATAGGCAGGGGGATGGGGAATCTAACATTGCAACTGCATTGAGGAACTTGCACTTCATTCAAAACAAAGCACATTCCAGCTGGCCACATCAAGGTCATATCCACATAGATCCACAGTGGCTGGAGGGAGTGATCTCTACAACCTGCGAAATTGTTTCATTGGAGAATGTGACTGATGATACACCTTGGGGGGGGGGGGAACAGGGTCAGAACCAGGGCATGAATTAAATTGAGGTCAGAGTTGGCTTCACTTTGTCTGTGCTGACATGAAGCTCCTAATAAATAACTGAATTTCTTTTAAAGCTTGGCTTGAGGTTCATGATTTAATTAGGGCATTAGTCGGAATCCTGACAGATAGTTTTTTCCAACAAGGATTCAGACTTCCATACTTGAACCCAGAGGTATTCTTATAAAACAAAATGGGAGTGATTATAGTTCTGAGTTTGCTTTCAGGTTTTTTGATATGATTGATGTGATTTCTCCAGTCAATGATTTTGTGAGATTGCCCATAAGATGCCTTCTAAATAGTGAACATGTGCACTAGTCTTCAACCTTGGAGACTTCACCCTTACAAATTATGGGTGCATTTATCACCTTGAGAATTTACCACTCCACTAAACAAAATGTTAAGGAACGCACAGAAAGATACTTACATTGGTGATTCAAAAAGCCATGGATTTGGATACTGCTTGAAGTCTATTGTATCTGAGAATGGATAGGACTGAGAAGTAACCCCACCAATGATAAAGCCACCCATCTGATAATATTCTTGTGGTTGCTTAAAGGGGTTGCTCAGTTTGCATATAATGCCATACAACATGCCTAGAGATACAAGCAACAACCACACTGAAAACATAAAAAATATCATGCCCATCCCTATGGCTGATATTGATCTTTTCCCCACCCCTGCAAATTCTTCTTTTATTTTAAATGAGATGATAGTGCCCACCAAGCTGCAATGTTTCCTTCTTCCTTCCCTTACTATCTATATCTATTTATAGATACGCTTCATTAGCTTTTAAAATTTTCACTTTTAAAAAGTATGTGAGTTTGGGGGAGAGATTGAAGTTGAATCATAATGATTTGAGATAATGACAGCTTTCATCATCAGCTCTCCAAAGAATATTTGTTGGAAACCAATATGTCACGTGAAATGTTTAAATGTTCAAGATAGTATGCTATTCTGTTACTCTTATACTAAAGTAATGTTTACATTTTATAAGAATTACAATAAGATCATCATGTATAGGGAAATAAACTGTATTTGGTGATTTTGTCAGTTGCGACCTTACCAAAAAGTTCAGCTTATTCATGGCTACATTTAAGAATAAATAGAACAAAGAAATGAATGAAGGTAAAAAAAAATTAAAAACCATTTTTATATTAATTAAATTTAATTTGATTAAGTATAGTCAATATATTTCTGATTTATTATATCTTAAATATCCTAATTCCTTCATCTTAAAAATTAAAATTTTATATTAATTTTGGATATTTTGGGATCACATTCAAGCTGCATGGTATATGCATACACAATAATAGTATGTGAGAAAGACCTTAGGAGACAGGAGGAAGAGACACTGAGGTTATTCAAGTGGTTTATCACTCTGGTGGACATAAATATAACTGCAGAAATGATTAAATATTTAGAAACTAAGGACTCTTTGCAATTTCCTCCAAATATTGAAGATTAGTAAACTCCTATTGAGTTTCAAAGTGGTTGGACTATTAAATAACTTACTTTCCTACATGTTGCTTGACTCTCTTCAGGCAGTCAAACTAAAACACTTTTTCATTTCGTATATGCCTGGCTTTTGATATTATGCTATGCTTTAAGGGATTTCACAATCAGTTAAAATGGTCTGAAATACATAGAAAAACCTTTTAACTGATATAATATTGCCTGTATATGAACAGAAATTTATAATTTCACCAACATGTCAGTGCTGACTTTCTACTTTAGTTATAATGAAAATGAATCACATTTCATATTCATACATAATTGTTCTGATACTTTGGTATAAATTGCTTTTCAGCTTGCCTATGGAACATTTTCTTCAGTAAATAGAGACAAAAATGTATTTCCATTCTTATACCAAATGGTCGCAAATGAAATGCATCAATACACTGGGATTATTCGATTACTTCAGCAGTTTGGATGGAATTGGATTGGGAACTTGGCTGTGGATGATGACTATGGGGACATGTTCTTGCAGAAAATTGAACCGTTGCTTTCCCAAAACAACATTTGTTATGCTTTTGTACTTAGAACACCACAGAAGGCATATGTAGATTAATATATACAGTTGATTGCAATGGAGTTAAGATATGATCAACTCTTTATGGATGATAAAGTCAAAGTGTGTTTAATCTATTCCCTAATTCCAGCCATGCAAAATCTGAGAATGATTATCTTGGTATCATCTTTTACTGTGTGCGCATGTGTGAGCCACGAATGGCTGCTATCCCTTCCCCGCTCTGACTAGGTGGACGGAAAAACATAGGAAACATCACCGAGCCTAGTCAGAACAGATGCGAGAGGGAATCCTAAAGGTAGAGGGTGATTCGGGGGTCATGAATGGGTGGTTGTCGGAGGGTTGCGGCTCTCCGAACGGCCCCCGGGCTGTACGATCGCCCCTGTTAGTCCTCCGACTCTCCAATGATAGAGGAAATGGCGGCACGCTGACGGCGCCCCTCCCTGGTGGTTTTCAATGCGCCCAGCATCTTTTGACTTTGCTGCAGAGCTCTCGACCGGGAGAAGCCCCGAATTTGGATTTTTGGTGGACAGTGGTGCTGGAGAGGGGGTGGCTGAAATTGGGTGGCACTGAGGAGGCTTGGCGGCTGGCTGCGTTCGTTTTGCCCGCCGCCGCTGCCGTGGCGTTCCTCCCGGAGGCCCCCCCATCGCCTTATCAGCTGGCGACGATCTGGATACATCCCAGCCTTTTCCTGGCCTTCTCCAAGTTTTTGGTTTTGTTATTTACAACTGAGAGGAGCCTGAAGGAGCCCCTGGACTTCTTACAAGCTTACCTTCTATGGTCTGAATTGAACTGGGAGTTAAAGTGGGAACTGTCGTGTCAGAGAGAGGGTAGCTGCCCTGGATACCAACAGAGGGGACTGTCTAGCAGGCCCTGGTGCCGCTATTACGCCCCCCCAGGTACCTACCCCTCTTTTATACCATCCTAACGACTATGGAGATTACTCCCTTTATTCGGTCATCTTTACCATCTGACTCTCCCCTGGTGCTCTTTTGCTGGACACCTGGTATTCCCCTATTGAGGCACTCTATCATCTGGCCGCCTCTAACTGTGGACTTTGGACCTTTCGGCCTGTTGGTACAGCTGTTTCTGATTATTACTCTCCATCATTGTCTTGGGGGCTCTATCTGGAATACAATTTATAGAAAAGTCACCTGTTGCTCCCAATTATCTTGGACCTTTTGG